AAAGAAAGGAGAAGGAGAAATTGTATATACCCCAAAAGGGAATACAACAGACTATATTAACAATTATTTTCAGGAATACAAATGCATCGGCTATTTCTAATGAAGAAAATGCTAATTTAGTAAGGGGTCCAATGACACCACACATGTCGCTGCAACTTTCAAGTTTTAAGTTTTACAATGCAATTTTTTTATAAATCTAAATTGTAACATACCTTGAAGTCGACAAATGCAACAGGAGCTCCATAGGTGCTTTGCATCTTCAATTTTAAAAATCCACGACATCTGTACAAGGCTCAGATGAAATTAGACATTTTATAACTAAAGTCGGATTAAATTCACATCCCGAAAATACAATCAGAAGAAAATATACTATTACATACCTTGAGAATGCTTGCATCAGTTCTTCCTCCGAGCAGGTAGGACCCAGATTAGCCACAAACAGAGTGGGGCATGGAATACCATTCTACAATTTTCAAGGGTCATCTATCAACAGTTAGACAAATAAAATAAAAAATAAATTATCTGTAGGAAAGGGAATCTCTGATGGAGAAATATTCAAGACTAACAAAGAAGTAGCTTTTTATGAAGAAGCATATTAACCATAAAATTAGCTTGGTTAATTTAAAGATTTTAGCCAGCAGCCAATTTATTTGTGAGCTAAGCTTGCACTCTCATTGTATAACAACAAATGGCCCCCGTATCAATTTTCTCAAGAAGACATGCTGACTAAGCAACTCAGGTTATTTTTTAAACTTTAACTGTTTAACATAAGCATTGTAAAAGCCCTTGATGAACCTTTTCTGCAGTCTTATTAGGTTTCTCTTTGAAGGAATTATTTTACTGTTTTTAGAGAAGAGAATTTAATGAGAAATTATTAAAAATAATATTTGAATAAAAGACCACTTCAGGTTGGATGATCAAGTTTTTGTCTCTTTTTTCTTTTTNAAAAAAAAAAAAGAAAAGAAAACAACAATATAATCCTGATGATGTACCTGGTGCCTGTTACCTACTCATCAAATACCTCATGATTAAGTATAGGACTGGATATTTCGAAAAAAAGGTAATACAAATCAATAGGCAAGGAGATCATTTAAAGAAACCTCAGATATTCAAGAAATAGGCCTTACAGACTTTGTAGAAGCCTTATTTGCAGAACCACCATCATTCCAGAAGCTGGACAGCCCACAAAGGAGAAAAAAGAAAAAATGCGCTTTGTAAGCAATTTTGAGCATGGTAAAATAACTTAGTACTCTAACTTCATGGAATTGCAACTGCTTTCTGCTCGCCCCTGGACTTTTCAGCTGGAAGTAATCATTTAATGTAACTTCAAAGGAGCACATTGATGTAATCACATTTTCAGGTATATAAATGTGCATAAGTAGTGCGCATATGACCTTTGTGTGGAAGGAAAACCAAATGTGCTGTGAGCAGAATTAGCCATTCCAGGCGTGTGAAAGCTGCCAAAACCTGCTAGTGCCCAAGCGTGCAAACGTGTAATGTGAGCTCTTAGGATAATGTGTTCTCATGTGACTAACTAGGTGGAGCCTCAAAAATGATCATGTAAATTCCATTCAACCAAGTGTAAATTGAAGCAATAATTCATAATTGCTCCTGGTACATGTAATCTAGTGGGAAGGAAACTCCAAGTGAAGACAATCAAATATTTTCCCTTGTTTAATCAAATAGAGTACATATATATTACCAGGATCATCACTCCTCGAAAATGCCGAAGACCCTTTGAGTCTCTTTTCTGAACTTTGACTCCCTTCATCTGATTATAATGCGTGATTAGCTACTACTGGGAAGCAAACCATAGTGAACAACCAAAAACATAGAAAGGAAAAATGTATTCAAGATGTAATCAACCTGCTCGTGCTCGCTTTGACCTTGAATTGGATTTGGCAAGATCAATATACAATGTTGATCCTTTTTCTAGGTCAAACACCAACCCCTAACAAGGCAATTTGAAAAATGCGAATCAGGGAAATGAAAGATTAAAGTGAAAAATGACTTATAAACAAGATCAGTAGACGAGCTGATCCCACCACCGGTTCATATTCAATCGTTCGAGCTTGTTCCAGTCCAACCAGTTTTGATATAATTTATACGTTTAACATAAAATAAATATTGATGTTCCATGTAAGCATAAAGTATAAAATTGTATTTTTTTTAACTTTATTAGTCACCATCATTTTATTAGTGTATCAATTATCAGAGTATAAACTTAAATGTATATGAGTTATTAATTTAAAGAAATTGACTTCACTTGAAATCAGTGTTCCAAAAATTTGGCTACGCGCCCGCCAAGGCGGCCCTAGGCGCTAGCCAACACCCAGGAGCCCCCATTTTTGTCTAGGCAACCCATCTAGGCACTCGGACAATTAGACACAGTCTAGGCAGCACCTAAGGGGTCCAGGCAGCTGTGGTTAGGTGGCCTAGGCGACGACCTAGGTTGTTCAGGCATTGCCTAAGAGCCCGTATTTTTTTTTTACATTTTTAATTTATTTTCAAAAATATTATAAAAATATGTTTAATTTTTATAGGTGATATAAAAAAATTATAAAACTTAAAAATAATCATCATGTAATCAATATAATAGTTATAAATATAATATATTCTGAAAAATCTTTGTATTTAACTGAATCAATCAGTATATAAAATATATCCTATTGAGTAACCTAATCCTCAGGTATGAGTTATCAAATCCCCACCGCCCTAGGCACTAGGCCCAACACGTGACCATATCTTGTTTAACACCATTGATTGGAATTAATGAAAGTAATTTTGTGCATATAACAGTTATTAATTATAATAACAAATTCATAAAAAAGTGAATAAAATTAAATAAAACTGGTTTTGCCAAGCTTTCAGTCGAACTGTTCTAACAGCAGAAAAGTCAAAAGGTTCTTGGAGCTGAATCTATGACCAGTTCGTGATTTGTTCATGGTAGAATTAGCTAGGTTTTCTAATCAGGGAAATAAAGCGGCAGGTGTTCCTTATTTACTGAATATAAGGGAGAAAGTGTAACCAACCTAAACTATAAGAGGGTGATTGTTTATGGATTCAACTAGTTTTTATTGGTTTGTTTTTTAACTATACTTAATTTTGAAAAAAGGTGGTATGGTTAGTTGTTAGTGGATATATTAAAATAACATTTAAATAAAATAATTAAAGTTGATTTGATGTAAAGGATGAGAAAAATGATTGAAAATGATAGTTAGTTAAAATTATGCGAGTGGATGAATAGTGAATTAAAGTTGATGTGATGTGTAAGAATGATTGGTTGATATTATTTAGTTATATTGATAATATGGGAGATAATGAGGTTGGGTTAAAGTTGAGTTAAATTTGAGTTTTGATTGATTTTTTTACTGCACAAACAATAAACAATCGCCCCCTAAGTGTTTTTTGGTTTGCAACTTAAATTTTGTAAAATTGCAACCTAATCTATACAGTTTTGAAAAACACCAACCTACACTGGAAACAACACAAACTGCACGCGGACAAAATCTATGTGTTGTCCTGCCGACATCTGTTGTGGTCGAAAAACCTAGCGTTAAAACTCACCTCATCGAGGTAGTTCTGCATTACAAACTTCAGCCCCATCCAACTTCAAAGTGTCAGCCAACACACATTTTCCCAAAAACAGTAACGGATGTCGGATGGGCGGAACCGCCCGAACAACAAATAGATCGGGTACGTACGCAGTTTTTTGAGCAACTTTTAAATAGAGGTTGGTATTTTTAAAAAAAACAACATGGATTGTGTTGCGTTTTCTCAAAATTTAAAGTTTAGATTACAAACCTGAAAAACACATCATACAAGGTTGGTTAAAAAAATCGCTGTAATATGAACGGTTTGATTTATCCAAATGTAGTTTGATATACCATAAATCAATTTCATAGTCCAATTTCTGGAACATGATTACTACAATAGAATTTCTATGAAGAGGTATAAATAATGGTTCTCATTACCATGTCCAGACACTAGTTCGTGGAGTCTCTGAATTGAGAACTAAATCATCAAATCTTTCACTGCAAATATCCTCAAGTCAATGCTCTTTTTTACTCTTGATGAGACAATTGATCTCTTATTACAGTTCAACGACAATTCATAAGTTCAAAAAGGCTCATAATGTTTACACAAATTGTGCATTATCATAGCAAACATACGAATTATAATCTAAACCACGAAAGCATGAAACATTTGGCCATCAATTAAAATCGGTGAATCAAAGCATCTAATATTGAAATTTAACCAAAGCTAGTATATAAAGGATTATAATGTCTTACATTTAGTGCATGTAATGCCATGACTGCTGATTGTTGATCCACAAAAGTTGCAAAAGCAAATGGCTGCAAATACATGAATTGCGAATTATAATGCATTTAACGAAACAACGTATACTGGAGCTCAAGTAACGAAATTGAAAACCAAACTAATATAAAATAATGACATACATCCGAACAAATCAGAACATAAGAGTTCGTAAAAATAAGATAACTAAGTTTGCTTCAACAAAGTCATTTGTCTAAGAGACCGTGAATATCTTATAATTACATTATTTGCAACGCAAGGCTGTGATAGATATACACATCATAGCTAAATTACGGCCATGAAACTACCTCTGCACACTCTTTCTGTGCTCCTACCAACCAGAAGCCTGCCTTCACAGATGCCACTTTCAAGAATCTTAAAAGAGTTTCAGGTGAATCAGAATAACACGATCAATCCACATTATCTCTAATAATTAATCTCACAAACACAATGAGCCAACGTATCAGGTAAAACAGCCAATAAAACACATAAATATTATAGATGCACTAAAAATAGTAACTTCTGATAATTTTAAGTTCTACACTTCATGATCCTGCTGTTTATGATATACATAAACTAAGTTCCCCTAATTATACAAAAATCTCCGTGGGGCCTGCTTGCTACAATCGAACTCCAAACATGTCCACTCTCAAAGCTCCTTATACTATAAACTAGCAGCTGAGGTAAAGGAAATCAACCCAAGCTAGTAGTATTCAAATATTAAACGCGTATATCAATAACTCCGAAAAAAAAAATACCTGATTATTGGACGAGGTGGGGGGCCTGAGGTTGGATGACTGGTAACCGGGGCATTCTCGGAAAAGATTGTAAATTTCTCGAGGCTTTACGTCCTCAGGCAGTCCAGCGACGAAGAGCGTCCGAACCTGTTCCTGCAATGACGGCGGATAGATTGGGGGCACGTAGGCAGCGTACGGCGGCGAGACGTTAACCGGCTGGGACGCTGTGGACGGAGGCAGATGCGATGTTCCCGGAGGCGGTGGAGGTGGCTGGTAATAAGAGTGATGGGCTGATGAAGCATAGTAAACTGAGAGGTCCATTGCAGCTTGATTCGAATTCGGAGGTGCAGTTGTGCCCTAGAGTGCAAAGAAAATGGGCAGGATTCTGTAGGGTGATCTGAAGAAACTCACAATTATTTTTTTTAATTATTATCGTACTAGCGCAATAATTAAAATAATAATAATAATAATAATAATAATAATAATATATAATACAAAACATTTTATGTTTTTATTCTGATATTATAATAATAATAATAATAATAATATACAATACAATATAAAAAAACATTTTATGTTTTTATTCTGACGTTCGGCCGAGCGAATAAGTCATTTGTTGTGTGAAGAGTGCATTATGACCCGTGACCGCATGCCTAGTTGGGGGCGGCTCCTCCGTTGTGAGTAAACGGGAAACTCGATTTTACGAATTCGAGAAAAGACTGCACAACAATCTCTTCCCCTTGGGAGGGGTTGATTCTCTACTATATACTCGATGGGAAGGGGCAAAAGGTTCTTATATATGGGACTCCTACGTTATCTGCTAACTATTTAGCTAGCTAATTAACTTCAATTCATCTTTTGGGTTCCTGCCTGACCGATTGAACCGATGAGATGAAGGTAGAAAGATGAGGTTGGCCTTTGCCTTGCATTGGAGCTAAGGAGAGAAGAAAGGGGGCTCGGCATGTACATGAGAGAAGCAAGGAGGTCAATCTCATACAACATGGATTCTGGCAATGCAGTTGGACTCTCCTACTAATATGAATGAATCATCCTTTCCGTGTTGGTAAATCTTTGCTACAATATGTTTTGACCGGAAGGCACTGTTTATTGTGTTTTTGTGCTTATTTTCGTGTGTTTTATATGCTTTAGTTTAGTAATTTTAGGTTCGTTTTAGTATCGACCGGTCCATTTTTATCGTGTTTCGTGCATTTTTGCTCTTTTTTTGTGTTTTTGTGGTTCGGCGTATTTTTTTTGTCTTTTTGGTGTTGTTTAGGTCCACAATAGTTGAGTTTGGGACTACGAGCCATTTTCGAGACATTTCCGAGCCGTCCACATCATGTCTGAGCCACGCGAACTATTTCCGAGCATATTATAATTGATGCAGGTACAATAAAAATTCAGTCATCTAGGAAAATTTTCATCTATTTTGTATCAAGCGAGAACTACTACGCTACTAATAAGTATCGATAAGAAAGCGATATATCTATGCGCTCATCTATAATGGTCAATTGTCAAACATGGGAATATTTGGATCATCATGGCCGATTTAGTCTAGTAAAAATACGTCTTCAAGCTAGCTCATAGGCAGAGGTGCCTGTTTGTAGTATTTTTGGACATGTGGTAACCAAGCTACCCGACTCGAGTCGTTCTCAAAGGAAGGCTGTTCGGAGCTTCGTTCACTACCTAGTCGTCAAAGTCACATAACCAAAAACAAGGTCCTACACATTTTACTCGCTTCATTTGGGGATGATTGCACGAAATTAAACTAAAAATCTAGAGAAAATGATGGAAAATGCAAATATAGAGAGAAAGATAAAAACTTTGGTCTACCAGAATCTCCATGACTCAAGAAAAAGAAAAATAAACAAGAGAAAACATGCTAGCATAGTGATCCTAGGTAATCTAACACGAGCTTTCAACACTAGATCATCACGCTTTAAGCAAAGTCGAGATCTCTACACAAGATAAACACATATAGATTCCTAACACACGTAAGCAAGCAATAAAAATAAAGCAAAACCCTAGAAACGAGCATAAACACACAATTCGAAAGACAAAGTCGAAGTAGTAAGGCCTAAGCAAGGTATCTACTCTCCTATCGCATGCTTGGATGAAAATAGTGAATAAAGCTCGAAACTTGGATAAAAATAAGCTTGCCGGAATTTCGCCGGAAAAATAGAGTCATAGACTTCCAAACCAAAGAACAAAAAGAAAAGAAAGAAAATAGAGAGGATTTCCCAACTTATTGGGAAATGAGGGTGCTGTCTAGAATTACAAAGTATAATGTCTATTTATAGCTACACCACAAACACACACTAAAAACAGGCACATTTAGTATAATACTCTCGAGGTCGCGGACATTTCCGCTGGGCGCGGGCACGAGTGGCACTGATGCGGGCGCGGAGAGGCACGGGTGCGGCACGAGAAAATGTGGCACTCTCGACGTCGCTGGGAATTTCGCGGGCGCGAGCGTCTGGTGCTGCGGCATTCTCGACCCGCCAAAGGATTCGCGCGGCGCGGGGCGCACTGAGAACGGCACTCGCAAGGGCGCCCTGAAATTCGCGCGCGCGGGGGCGCTGGGGAATGGACTCGCAAGCTTGCTGGCAGATTCGCGCACGCGGAACTTGAATTCGCTGGGACTCGCGGGAAGCAGTTGGTTCGCAGGCGCGGATTGAAGACTCGCGCGCGAGTTCTGAATTCTGAACCTCCTTAGTTGCTCGCAAGTTGGCTATGCCTCGCGAAATGACTTCCGCTGGCGCGAGTCTCGAGAGGTGTTTGGCTCGGAATTTGTCCCGACGGCTCAGGCATGGCGCGAGTATCGACCAAAATAACAATATAATTGATGCAAAATAATTAGATTATTATTATTATTATTATTATTATTATTATTGTTAGTTATCTTGGAGAATAAGTTAGGAATTGTTTAATATTTAATAAGATTTCTTGTCTTGTTGGACAAGTTAGGTCTAGGGTTAGGAGCCTTATATAAAGGACTACCCTAGTTTATTTTCATTAGTTGATTATTGAAATGAAATAAGATATTGGTGAGTTTTGCGAGTTTTATCGAGAGAGTATCTCGTTTATGGTCCCCCTCGTACGCTTCCCTACATCAGTTGGTATCAGAGCTCAGCACGATTCACGATGCTGTCGCGAAGACATGATGCTGCAAACGACAGGCGTGTCGCCGCCATCTACAACCTGAGCCGTCGGACCGAGTGGTTTGGCAGCGAGCTCGAGACGATGGGTCGTCAGATTTCAGATCTATCCGCAGAGATCGGGGACATACGTCTAACTATTTGTACCATAGTTCGGGACAAGCAAACGTACCGTGACGCCGGCAACCGGGCCGTGCGCGGGGGAGTTCGAGGAGGATGTGGAGGTCGTGGTCCAGGCGGGGCGCTCCGCCGGAGATCTCCACAACCACCGTCTGGCGATGAAGACGGCGAGGAGACAATCTCGGAGGTGAATCCCTTCAGCGATTATCCAACCCTGCACGTCGAAGTTGACCCCTTCGCTGCATACAGCGGCCGTGACATGCTGCGACGGGGCCCGGTCTTCATGGACGGCGACGATCAATGCGACGACAAAGGCAGACGCGAGAAGGCTGCCTTCGCCGGCGGATATCGTGCCCGACGTGATTGGGAATTTGATTGCGAATATGGTCGATGGGAGGGCCCGTTTCGCGTGGACATGCCCGAATTTGACGAAGATCAAGATGACGGGCCATTGTACGATGGTCCGCCGATCTTCGATGAGGAGCCTCCGGTGACGGTGACACATTATTGCGGCAATATGGGCCCTGCGTGGAACGTCGAAGAGGTTGAACATTCAAATAGAAAACCATCAGTCAGCCCCAATTTTCAGAGTATCTTGGCCATGGATGGGTTTTTGGAGCCGAGGCCGGGACTCAAAAGCTGTTGGGACATTTTCGGACTGTCTCTACCGAAATCTTCCAACAACAGAATGCTTGGCCGTATTTGTAGATTTGCGTGCCGCGAACGACATGGTATTTATGGTGGTAATTCCGCTGGGTGGTTTATGAATATGGGGGCGTGTAAAAATGCCTTTGTTGCAGTTACGTCATTGCCCAGCATTATGTTTACCATCGGAGCTATTGGGCGACCTTCCACTTTTGTGTTCGATAGGGGGAAACGATGAGCAATGGATTCCATGGGTACGACTCTGGTGTCGGCGCGTCTTGCGCAGCTTCGAGGGCGAAGCCTTCCGAACCGGAGGAGAATGATGCAGAATAATTAGATTATTATTATTATTATTATTATTATTATTATTATTATTATTATTATTATTATTATTATTAGATATCTTGGAGAATAAGTTAGAAATTGTTTAATATTTAATAAGAGTTATTGTCTTGTTGGACAAGTTAGGTCTAGGGTTAGGAGCCTTATATAAAGGACTCCCCTAGTTTATTTTCATTAGTTGATTGTTGAAATGAAATAAGATATTGGTGAGTTTTGTGAGTTTTATCGAAAGAGTATCTCGTTTATGGTCCCACTCGTACGCTTCCCTACATCAATAATTAATTTTATATTTATCTTCTCTTTATTTTTCTTTACATACAGTAACTTAATGTTTATGTTATATGTAAATATTCCATACGTATTATAAGTTATTTGTATGTAAAAATCTCTTGAGCAAACTTGAGGAGAACACATAAAAAATTTGGCGGAGCCCTAGACAAGCCCATCGTAACGAGCCCATGAACTGCCCCTCGGAGTTGTGTCGATTGATGAGAATGGAGGTTTTGCCTTCTAAGGACGAAAATGATCGAGGGTCGAGACGACCCGAGAAGACCTCGCGAAGGGCTAAAAAACGTGTCCATGGGCCGGGAAACGAGTAGGAGCTTGTATGAAACAACACACGGGTCATAGGGACTAAGTCCCGCGCGACAGCAGCAGGGCTCGCACAGACCCAACGAGACAGCGCGAAGCAGCGTGCGACAGCAGGGCAATGCGTGAGCGACAGCTTGAGCGCAGACGACGACACTGGCACTCGCGTGCTTGGCGAACACATTTTGAGCTATCTTATTCGGCTAGATGACCAAATTTGCATCATATCAGACTATGTTTGGTAACCGAATAAGCTAGCTTACAGTTTTTTTTTATTATCTTACAAGCTTTTTGTATTCAAGTAAGTTTCGTTTAGTAGAACGAGCATTTTAAAAAAAACTCAATCTTATTTAGTAAGTAATAATATAACTTTTCAAATAAGCTTGGTGAAATTTTTATTTCAGTTAGTTTATCAGTTAATTTTACCAAACAGTTTTATCATATAAAATAACTTTCAGCTAAGTTATGGGCTAAATATAACCTAAAAAATCACTTATAAAATATAAACTATAAACTAGCTTATCACCTAGTTCTAGTTTTACCAAACATAATTCACGTTCAGAAAAATCAAAACACTGTTGAACGGAACTCAAAACATAAAGTAAGGCCCCGTTTGTTTTTCAGCTTTTTGCTCCAAAAAGAGCTTTTTCATCCATTTAGCTGTTTGACTTTTTTAATCAGCTAAAAAATGTGTTTGGTAAATAGCTGTTGCAAATGACTTTTTTTGGGGGTCATCCGCCAAATTAAAAACCGCTGCTTTTAACAGCGTTTTGGTTCAACTTTTCATTGTATAAAAATAAAAACTAAATGCCTTGGTTGCCCCTATTTTCTCTACACCTCATTAAAAGTTTTGGTTCAACTTTTCATTGTAGAAAAAGTAAATTCCTTGGTTGTCCCTATTTTCTCTACGCCCCATTACAAGTTTTGGTTCATCCATTTGTTTTTTTTAATTCTTTTCTTTTAGTTTTTTTTTTTTTTAATTATAATGGTATATATTGCATTTGACTCACATTTATATATGATTGGTGTTGACTTTGTTTATATGACGTAAGTTTATTTACTCGATTATGAAATATTTTTATTTTATTATTATTGATATTTTTATCATATTTAAATTACTTTAATAAATATTTTAAATATTAATTATTATCATATCCTAAATAATTATAAGTTCAACATAAAATAAAGTATGTTGATATCTTTATAAATAATTTTACATGTTAACAACTAATTAAAATAGCTAATTTTAAAATATACTAACAGCTAACAGCAACTGATTACCAAACAAGGACTAAGCAAGATAAAAAAACTCATCTTACTAGTCGACAAAAACTTCCTCTGTTCCTCTCTCAACTGTGAAAAAGTCAAAAATGAAAAACCTCATCTTATTTTGACGGTTACATCGTTTTCATCGTAGGGACAAACAGAAAAAAGGGGCAAGAATAATGCAAGTGTTCTTGCCTTTTCAACGCCGCTGTTGTGAGATTATTTTTTGGCGGGGGGTGAATCACTGTTTACTCTGAATCATTTAAATGATGGGTTCGGGCCCAATTATGCCGGCGGCCAGCGGCTGTGGTGGGATCGGCTGGTGGTGGGACGATGGCGGTGGCGTTAAAAAGAGTATTAATAGCAGCCTTACTAAGAATGGACATCATAATAATGGTGAAAGGGCGTGTGTCTTGTCGTCAGCTTTTGCGTATTTCTTGTTTTGTTTTGTCGTTTTGGGGTCGATTGGGAGCTTGTACGCAAGGTTCATGGGCACGGCTAACGTGCGCGCGGGTATAACGACGCTCGGGTGTCAGGAGGACAGTGAGGGTTCGTGGGCTATAGGCATTTTCTATGGGGATTCCCCCTTTACTCTCAAACCAATTGAAGCTGTATGTCCCTTTATATTTTCTTTTATTTTTAAGATATCATTTATATGCATGTTGATGTGAAATCCTTCTGATCATGTAAACTTAAATACTGGTTTTTAAGTTAAATTTCTTTGATTTTTTTTCTTATTGGTTTCAGTGCTCGGTCAATCTTACTTTTTCTCCTTTCGATATATCCTTTTATTTTATTTTTTCTTTTGTACTGCTTCATCGTTTCTGGAATATTTTGCTTCGTGGTTTTGTGATATTCTGATAAATCCCTTCTGTGGGGAAGTATGGGCTGCAGCTTTTTTTTTTCCTTAATAAATTTTTATTTAATTATCTGGTTATTCTTACTGAAACATATCTGACCTGCAGTAATCACTGCAGATTTGTTTACATATATGTTTGTGTGACAAATTAGTCTTCTATGATATGGGCTTTTCAAGGTTTCTTTTTCTTATCCTCTGTGTGTGTTAGAATTTCAAAATTTTTGGTGACTGTACTAAAAGTTTGTTTGACAGATGAATATCTGGAAGAACCAAACTGCAGCATGGCCTGTAGCCAATCCAGTTGTCACTTGTGCATCACTTTCCAATGCTGGGTTCCCCAGCAACTTTGTTGCAGACCCATTTCTTTATGTAAAGGTATTTTTTTCTTTTCTTTTTCTTTCTTCTTTTATCTAACTTGTATGATTTTTTAATATATACTGTATTTACAGATAAGTTTTTTATGATATGTCTGGTGGGAACTCTTTAGTTGTTCATGATATTGGTAGAGGCATGATATCAGTTTCAGAGGCTGTGGTTTTCTATCTTTTTCCTCCATGGATATTGTTGTGAGTTAATGGGATGTCATCTTTTGGTTGATCAGTTTGATTGTGATTAGAGAGAATGGACTTGTTCGGAAGCATTTTTTTATATGAGCATTTGAAACTGATAATGGACTTGTGTGGTATGAGCATTTTTTAGGGGAAGGGAATATACCCATTTTCATGTTCTGTATTTGATTAGAGAGAATGGACTTGTGTGATTGTTTCATACGTAACGTATGAGCATTTTTTTCCCTCGATAATATGTGATTTCTCTTTTGGAATAGATTGTGTGATTGTTTCATATAGATACCGAGAGTTGATGTTTTTGTCAAAGAAAATTTACATGCATCCTATTCAAACAAGTGATTCACACGCTACTTTGGTTGCAAAGTTACATATCCATTAAGTGAAGAGATTCTTTTGACATCTGAAGTTAAATTAATTGTTAATACAACCTTTGATAATGAATCTTGTTTAAAAGGAAAGTAAGGTTCTGGTAATTGCATTTGGACTTTAGGCTGTAACCTCTAAAACTGCCATTTGACCGCTGTTGTTATATTATCCAAAAATGCAGACTGAGGATGAGGGATGACAATTCGAATTTACAACATTGTGCTTTAGGAGCAGTCAAGTTTTAAATGGAAATGGACCGAGTTTTTTTTATCTTGTTGCCTTTCATATGTGTAAGTTCTGTTTTGGGTGTTGCTTACAACTATGATCGAAATGTTTGTGGCAATTGACACATTTATTAAAGATATGGTTCCTATTTTGCTTGAACTTAGTGTGATGTTTCATTAAGTACAAAACTCAATAAATTGAAACTGGTTGTGTTTATTACATGATTTGACCCAAAATGTAAAAAAAAAAAATAAAAAAAATGTTTGTTACATGATTTAGGATGATATCCTGTACCTGTTCTTCGAAACAAAAAATACAATCACAATGCAAGGCGACATTGGAGTTGCTCTAAGTGTAGACAAGGGAGCCACATGGCAGCAGTTGGGCATCGCCCTTGATGAAGATTGGCACCTCTCCTATCCTTATATCTTCGATTANTATGATTCCCGAGGGAAGTGCTAAAGGTGATCTCCGCCTGTACCGTGCAATCAACTTCCCCCTCAAATGGACATTGCATAAAATCATCATGAAAAGGCCACTCGTCGACTCTTTCATGATCCCTCACGAGGGCAAATTCTGGCTTTTTGGCTCCGACCACACTCAAATCGGCGCCCGCAAGAACGGACATCTCGAAATCTGGCACAGCCACTCCCCTTTCGGCCCCTGGAGACCCCACAAGAAAAACCCCGTTTACAACACACGCCACAGAACAGGAGCCCGAAACGGAGGCAGGCCTTTTGTATTCAACGGCAGTCTTTACAGAGTCGGTCAAGACTGCGGTCAAACATACGGTCACCATATTCGCATCTTCAAAGTTTTAACCCTCACAACTGACGAGTTCAGAGAGGCCGAGGTCCCGTCAGGCCTCGATTTTCCCGCTAAAGGACAAAAAAAATGGAATATGGCCCGGGCCCACCACCTCGACGTGCTGCAGCTTGGGTCCAGTGGATGGGTTGCAGTGCTCGATGGGGACCGGGTCATGTCGGGCGACCCGACCCGCCGATTCGTGCTCGGGTCATTCTTGGCTGTTACCGTTTTTGCTACTGCAATCCTATTCGTGGCTGTTATTGGAAAGAGAAGTGATAACAGTAGTAATAGTACTCTTCGGCCGAACAGGGCAAGGTCGAGGCTGAGACTGAGAACCTGCTGCACGGGTATTTTCGTGCTGATTATTATTCTAGCGGCCGTGATGCTGACGTGTACCGCAGGCACACGCTTCTACGGTGGGAGTGACACGGAGGAACCGTACCCGTTTGGCGGAGACTACTCACAGTTCACGCTAGTGATGGTGATGTCATCGTACCTGTCGAACGTGAAAATGCACGTGAGGCGCTACTCGAGGTGTGGCTCAGTGCGTGAAATTGTTATAGTGTGTGACAAAGGGGGTGAGGTTTGGGCAAGCGATTTTGACTCGGCCGTGCCTATTAGGGTAAGAATTGACGAGGGGCTGAACGGGTCAGACCCATTGTTGGAAACTCGGGCAGTTCTCGAGCTCGACGATGATGTCATGATGACGTGTGATGACGTCGAGCGGGGATTTCGGGTGTGGCGTGAGCATCCGGATAAGATGGTAGGGTTGTACGTGTACCCAAGGAGAGATAATGCGATCTTGATGGGGGCAGCTTTTGTGGACCGGTCGGTTCTTGGGAGGTATTGGGGTGAGGAGTATTTTGACTGTGAGGATTTGCTGATGTATGATGACGTGTCGGGCGGAAGGGGACTGGTGGAGTACGTAAGGCGGCCCCCATGGGTGGTGGTGGACGCATACAAGATATTTGGGATGGGAATCACAAGGAACAAGTGTTTGACCAAATTTGACGGTATTTATGGGAGTTTGAGTGGTAGGAAAGTGAAGTTTGGGATAAGGAGGACCGATGGGTGGAATGTATAGCGGTGACAGAGTTTCTTCACAACATCCGACACGAAGAAAGAGTGTATTNAGAGGCACCAATGCAACAAAGGAACTATTTTCTAAGTGCGATCATTGATTTGAGGTCTTGTGTTTTTTTCCCCTTAAATTAGAGGCATAGTTAATCATACCTATAATGATTTTAGATAGTTGGTTTTGAAAATTAATTTGAAATTATGTTGGTTAATTGTAATCAATCTATTTATAAGTTATCATGTATTGAACATAAAAAAGGGTAAAAATAAAAAAGGGCAAAAATAAAAAATATAAGAAATAATCTACATGTTTCTCAATTTAAATTAAATATATATTTTCCAAAACTATTACAACATTAAATGAATTTCTTAACTACTTAATTTTTAAAAATTTCATATGTTTTTAAAAGTATTAAACATATCGTAGTATTAACAAATTCGAAAATTACTTAAGTTTTTAGTAGTCATAGAGGGGGTGAGAACAAAAATGGTATTTCATATGCATAACTCAGTGGAGAAAAAAATAATTACAAAATGTTAAATATTTAAGTGGGCCTCTTCTTTTATTTGGAGAAACTTAATAACAAAATGTTTGAGTATTTAATTGGGGCCATTTTCTAAGTTTAGTTGGGGCACAACTAATTCCAATTAGGCGTTTTCTTACAGTCGGACCCATTTTCCAAGTTGAGCCCCCTTTCTAAGTTTGGTTGGAGGCACATCTAATTTCTAATACAGGAAAATGAAAAAAACAAAACTTTAATAGTTAACAAGATATTTTTTTTTTATTATTGGGCCCCCTTTTCAAGTTGGGCCCTGGGCCATCGCCCAGGTCGCCCTGGGCCAAGGCCGGCCCTGCTCTTGTTCCTAATCGTTTTGGAGGGACTTTGAGTTGTTATATTTAGTTTTTGGTCAGTCTCGTTGTATACATTGTTTGAGTAACTCGATTCTTTGGCATGCCCTGTCTCGTCTCACAGATGTGGTAAGGCATGATCACAAAACTTGTTTTTGTTTTCGAGTTCGTTTTGGTAAAGAACCAACATCTTGTTACAAAATACTCAAAATCAGATTTTGAGAATTATTGGAGATAAATCCCTACTTTGAAAGACACTTTCTAGTAGGGTTGGTATCGGTTCGGTTACAGAACCGATAAGACCAAACCGATGCCGTATCGATTATTTCGGTAACAACAAAATATGAAACCGTTACCGTACCGATAGTTATCGGTAACCAAGTTTTCGGTTACCAGAAACTCGGTTCGGTAACGGTTTTTTACTGATAAAACCGAAATTTACCAATAAATATGCAATTTGATGAAGCTCGATTCGGTAACGGTTTTTTACCCAAAAAAACGAAATTTACCAATAATAATGCAACTTGATTAAGTTCCAACATTCATCTACCATGTTACAACATGATTAAGTCCAACATTCCAATAATAACAACATTCCAACAGTCATCCACCAATAATACCCAACATTCATCTACCAATAATACAACTTGCAAGAACAAACATTCATCCACCTTGTTCCAATATGATTAAGTCCAACAATCCAACAATAACAACATTTTATAATTCAAAGTTCCAACATGGTTAAGAAAACTAAATAAACTAACGCAATACCATCAAGTCCAATATCACCAATCGCTCCAAATTCTAATCCGCTACTCCTCCTACATAAGAAAAAAAAAATGCACAAAGAAAACCGATGTTTTTTTTTTGTTAATGGGTGAGTACTTGAATTACTAATTTATTAGTACTAAGTTAATTTATTATTTCAAGTTATTAATTATTAGTATTAAATTATTAACTACTAATATTAAGTTTTTTTTTTTAATTACTTATCGGTTCGGTTTGGTAAAACCGTACTTCTATAGTTTTGGAACCGATATCGAACCGATTACATATCGGTAACCGATAATCGGTTACTGTTTTAAATGAGTCGGTACGGTTCAGTTTTTTTCTCGTCGGTTCGGTTCGGTTTTCGATTTTCGGTCAAAAAATGCCACCCCTACTTTCTAGTAGGCATTTCAAAGTTTTTCATTCTCGGAAAATGATAAAACAACCCCTCTTCATGCGCTGGGGGCGTTCCCCTCTTCTCCCTCAAATCTGAAAAAAAGAGACTAGGCTACTTCTTCTCCGATCATTGCCCCTCCTCCGCCTGAGACATGCCGCAACGCTACTCGAGCCAAGTTCCACAGAGTCGGGGTTGGGGGCCATTTCCGCCTCTTTTGAGGTCTTGCGGGAGGAGTTGGCGCTCGCTCCCCGACTACGGTGAGTCGACGACGATCGTCAGCTTAGTTATGTCTGGGTTCGTGTTCCTTGTTCCGTCCAAGGGTGCGACTCGACTGCACGTTTGAGCCCTCTTTCGAGCTTCGGTGGCTATTCTTCCCTCTCTCCCGGCGTGGTAGATTTTAGAGTCAAAAAATTGCTCTCGAGAATTGACTCTTCATCAGATTTGTCTAGCCGGCGTGAGTGGCCGCAATTTTCGGGTTTGAGGTTTCAATTTGCTTCTTTGTTAAAACTCTGTGCTGTAAAGAGTGGCTCGTGTGCCGACTCAGGTGGTCGTGCGTTATGTGTGTTAGGAGTAGGGGAAGGCTTAGTTTATTTATACATGTGCGTTTTTCATTGTTTTTCGTTTTGTTAGTCCAATGTCTTGTGACTTTAGTCTTCTTGGTAACACACCTTGCTTACTTTATTTTATTCTTCCACATAGGCACCTACAATTCAATGATTATATTTTCTTAACAGTAAATAAATAAAAAATTACACGAATTTTCTTAACAATAAATAAATCGAAAATTATATTTTATTATGCAATAATAAAATTTCGCCCGTAAACTATATTTTCTTTCTCATCGACTGTTTTTACCAAGATCTTACATGGTAACTGTTCATCAGCTCAGCAAACTCCTGGAAGCATGTAAAACATGGAGATGCCCGGACCAGCTTCATCCCTTCGCCATCAAAACCGGCCTCACGCACGACACCCATTTCGCTGCCCAATTGATCGCTATCTACTCGCGATTCACCACTCCTCGAACAACCCGGAAGCTGCTTGACGAAATTCCTGAGAGAACCTTACGCATCTTCAACACTATCCTGAAATACTACTACGGACACGGACAGCACAAAGAATGCCTTCTCCTCTTCCCCAGCTTGGTCTCGTCCAAAAAATTAGATCTTTATTCGGTATGCATATCCCTCAAAGCCTGCGCTGCTCTCGGAGAATCCGATTACGGGAAGATAATTCATGGGTTGGTGCGTAAGACTCATGGGGTCAGCTGGCACGCGTTCTTAGGGTCAGCTTTGGTCGAAATCTATTCAAAATTCGGTAAAATGGACGACGCCATTTGCGTATTTGACGAATTTCCCAAACCAGACACAGTTTTGTGGAGTACAGTAGTCACAGGGTACTTGAAGAATGGTGGGCCTAAGCGGGCCCTTGAGTTTTTTGCTCGAATGGCTAGGGAAGAAGGCATCGTGCTCGATTCCATTGCTCTGGTCAGCGTTGTGTCGGCTTGTGCACAGACTTCGGAACTTAAGGCAGGGAGAAGTGTTCATAGCTACATGATTCGGACAGGTTTGTCTGAAAATGGCTTGTCACTGTTAAATGCCCTGTTGAATTTGTATGGGAAAATGGGTTCGGTAAGTTATGCGGCTAACTTGTTCGATAAAATGCCACAGAAAGACTCGATATCGTGGGGCTGTATGATTTCGTGCTACGCGCATAACGGGTGCTCTAAAGAAGCACTCTGCCTCTTTGATGTGATGTTAGAGAGAGAAATCGAGGTAAATACCGTTGTTGTACTCAGTGCACTGCATGCATGTGAAGCTTCTCATGATTTGAATATGGGTAGAAGGATACATAAGCTTGTTATTAGGAAAAAAATTGATTTAGATATCTTGGTGTCAACAACTCTGATAGACATGTACATGAGCTGTTGTTCACCAGATGAAGCAATCCAAGTGTTCGACCGAATGCCTGTGAAAGATAGAGTTTCCTTTTCGGCTGTGTTGAGTGGATGTGTTGAAAATGGAAGGGCACGCAAAGCGGTTGGAGTTTTAAGTGATATGTTGGCTAGTGGTTTTCGACCTGATTTGTTCGATTCGGTTAAGATTCTGAAGGCCTGTTCGGAGTTGGGTGTTTTTCATCAAACTAGTTGTGTCCATGGTCTCATCATCAGGGATGGCCTCTATGGTAATTCTTTCATCAATGCTTCACTTATAGAGTCTTATGCAAAATGTGGTAGCTTGGAAGGTTCTATTGTTATTTTCGAGCAAATGTTAGATAGAGATACCGTTATTTGGAGTTCCATGTTTTCCGCATATGGCCTTCACGGGAAAGGCCATGAAGCTCTAAAGTTATTTCACCAAATGACTAAAAATTCATCCATTAGCCCGAATGAGTTGACTTTTCTATCGATTTTATCTGCATGTAGCCACACTGGCCTACTTGAAGAAGGAGTTGATATATTTAATACTATGGTAGGAAAATATGGAATAAAACCAAATTCGAAACATTATGGGATCTTGGTCGACCTTCTTGGTCGCATGGGGGAGCTGGACAAGGCCATGGGATTTATTGATCAAATTCAAGAAACAGTTGGGGCAGATGTGTGGGGAGCTTTGCTAAATTCTTGTAGGATTTACGGAAACTCAAAGATTGGAAAAATTGCAGCAGAAAAAGTGTTTGATTTGAACACTCGTGATGCCGGGCATTACATTTTGTTGTCAAATATATATGCTTATGAGGAAAACTGGTGTGAGGTTGCACGAGTTCGTAATTTGGTTAGGGAGAAGGAATTGAAGAGGCTCTCAGGTCAAAGTTTTATTGAGACGAGGCATGAGATTTGTGCTATAACTAATGACATGTGTCATTAAGATATGCAATTATAAAATATGCAGTGAATTTAGATATACAATTATAAAATATGCCACACTATATATTCAATAGATGCTCGTTTTATTTAATTTAATTTCGGTTGCATTTCACCTCGTTCGGTATAGCGAACTCCAACACCCAACCCCTCTAATCAATACTTAGTTTTGTTTGCGTTATGTTTCCTTACCACTGAATGGAAGTCGCTGCTGGCACCTCTACGGGAAATTCGTGAATCTCATCTGTCCACGGATTTCTCTCCTGAGTGAGGTTAACCCGTCTCAATGCCTTCCACACTGCGCTATTACACTTAAACCCTGAGCCGAACGCGATTTGCCACGTAAGGTCCCCCTTACGAACCCTACCCTTGGCCTCTACGTACGCCAGTTCATACCACAACGAGCTGCTTGACGTGTTCCCAAACCGATAGAGTGTCATTCTAGAAGGTTCCATGTGCCATGGGCTCAACTCGAGATTCTTCTCCAGCTCGTCCAATACTGCTCTGCCCCCTGCGTGAATGCAGAAGTGATCGAACGCGAGCTTGAAATCTGGGATGTATGGTTTGATTTTCATCTTGAGCACCTTTCTGCCGAGGAGCGTGAACAAAAAGAGGAGTTGCTCGGACATGGGGAGGACCAACGGACCTAAAGTCGTGATGTTCGTTCTTAGGGCTTCTCCGGCCACTGACATGATGTCCCGGGAGAGGCGGACGCCCACTTTTCGAGCATCCTTGTCTTCTTCTTGGAAAACACACCTGTCATTTTGTTGTGAAATATTATTTTATAAAATTTATCAACATATATAAAGTGGGTTTTGTATTTGGCAAAATTTTAAATATGGTTCACTATGTTCATCATTTTTTTTTTTAAAAAAAAAGATAATTATACAGACTGTCATCAAGAATAGTCAAACATATAGTGTATTGAAAATGACAATTAGAAATTTTCATTTTTAATACACTATATGTTCACTATTCGTACAATACCTAATATAGTGTAATAAAAATAAATAAATAAATGACCTGTAGCTTTTATCTTGGGCGCCCATGTGGGTTCGAACGGTGTGGATGAGTTGGTATTTAGCACGTCTTTTATCGGAGTGTTTGTTGGAGAGGAGAATGGCAGCGCTTCCCATTCGAAAGATGCAGTTTGAGAGTAGCATGGAGCGGTTGTTGCCAGTGTACGAGTGAAGAGTCATGTTCTCAGTACTCACCACTAGCGCGTACGAGTTGGGATTCACCTGTTCCAGTTATATATTGTCATGCAAATTAATTAATAATTAAATATAATAATGATGATTGATGATGAGGTTCAGTTGCATCATCTGTTTGCTTACGGCAGGCACATATCGGCCAATTCCAACCAATGTTATAAATTGAGTTATTGGAAAAAAAAAAAATTAAATGAGTGTACATTTGATTTGATTTTGAGTGTGTGAGTTGATATAAGTTCAAATATTGGTTAAAGTTCATTTGATTTGAAATTATTTACATATTGATTTCAATGATTAATAGTTAAAAAAATGTGTGGGAATTGTAGATTATTGATATTATTTTAATTATATTGATAATATTGAAAAGAATCACAAGTAAAAACCTTTTGGTTAACACTATGGTTATGTTTGGTAAACCTAGTTGATAAACTAGCTTGTAGTTTTTAAATTAATTTCGAACTTATAGTTGATAACTTATCACTTATGACTGAAAAGCTAGCTTATATGATAAAAATGTTTGGTAAAATTAACTGACAAGCTAGTTGAAATAAAAATTTTAATAGGCTTATTTGAAAAATTATTCAAGGAAGCTTATGAAATAAACTCGAGTTTTTTAAAAAAGTTCATCCTATCAAAATAAGTTTATTTTTATATAGAAAGCTTATACGTTAATCAAATAAATTATAAACTAACTTATATACTTGTATTAAACACAGTCTAGGACATAATGCATACCCGCTTAGGCAACAATTAGATGAAGCCTAGTGTGGTACGTTGTAAAAATCATAATAAATCTATTTATTTTTATCACAATATGTAACTTACATTATATAAAGCATAGTAATTAATACAATGAAACAGAAAAAAAAAAATGTATATAATTAATATAATAATTTTAATTTGATTGTTATTTTTAAAATCTTATAACTATGTTATACCTTTTGTATAAAAAAAATTAAATATATGTTATATTATATGTTAAATTAACACTGTAAAAAATAAAAAATAAAAAAAAAAATTAATCATGTGCATCTGCCTATTAGTCAAGGCATAACTAATTTCACATCCACCTATATTGGTTAGGCACGCTAACTAATTTCACATCCACCTATATTGCGTTAACTACTTTAACAATCTCTATTATATAGAGTAGAGTATATTCTGCTCTAGAGGAGCAGAGGTTACAAGATCCATTGCATTTATTTAAAAAGGAGTTGTTGTTATGAGATCCATTATTATGTTTATTTTAGAAAGCTCTTTGAGAAGTGATTAAGTTATATGGCTATTATATAACTCAACCATTAAGTTTTTGCTGATAAATTTAGTCTTGTAATTTGCAGATAAATATTAATTATTCAAATATATTTTTACCTATATACATTTTATTGTTCTTGCGTAATACACCTTTCTTGTACTATTGCATGGTCAAACTCCAAATTGCACCTTATTTATAGAAAACACGAGAAATATTTTAAAAGGATCAGTTACAGAATCTCTTTAAGGTTGTACGTATTTTAGAAAAGAAAAAAAATACACGATCTGCCATTGTTTTTAATAAAATTCAAAAGAAATAATAATAATAAGGAAAAACTACACTGAATCCACCTAACTATAGAGTTTTTGCACTTTACCCACTCAAGGTGACAGATAAAAAAAAATGAGTGG